CCGCCGCCTGCCTCTCCAGGCTGCTCCCAGCGCTTCTGCGGCTGAGCCTCGCACTGCCCGCACTGCCCGAGCCACCAGGCTGGGAAGCTGCCAAGTGTCCCTGCAATCAATCCTTCATTTGAATCAGGTTTCAGGGCGGGAGGGGAGGGATGGAACCGCTGAGAGGGGGGCCTGGAGAGCTGGGTCACTCAGCGGAGCTCAGTCCTTCTGTTCTGCCAGGTGCCCTGCTCAGTTCCCCAAGGACTGACTTGGGGTCCAGAGGCTGTGGGAGCTCCAGGCAGCTGCCTTCACGTATGGCCCACGGCAAGTATGTTTCCTAGCATCGGGCTGGGCTGGGTGGTGAGGTGGGAGGAGCAGGAGGGCCATTCTCTCGCTCTACAGGGTGACACAGGGCCCCTAGCTAGGCAGCTCTGCCGACAGAAAGGGGACCTGGAGTCACCACATGTCTGCCCTTTGTCCTCATCTAAATATTCATATTTAAATAGTCAAGATGTAATATACATATATATTTATACTATACAGTTTTTTCTGTGCCATATAACTATTTTATATGTTTTTATTCCACAAAGTCAATATGCATAGTTAAAATGCAATAGCAATACATCCTCACTGTGGGGAAAATGAGAAAAAATGGAAACCATCCATAGGCTTACTGACAGCTCAGGGACAGCCACCACTCAGACTTTGGTGTCTGTTCTCTGTAATGTCCTTCTAGAATGTGTCCACAACGAGTAAGTGTACCATGCATGTACATTTGTGTCCTCCCCCATTTTTTGCTTAATGTCATTTTACCTGCGGTCACAACACTTTTCCCTGAAATGTAGTTTTCTTGAAAGAAGTGCCTTTCTCTTTTTTGTAAGTTAAATAGGCATTTATCTATCCCCGCGATACCCAACTGGTTGCCACTAGCTTGTCTGGCAAAACCATGGCTATAGGTTTATTTGGAGGCATCCCACTCCCATCTTGCCATGTGAATAGATGTGTAGATGTGGGCTTTCCTTCTCCTTTTTATTTATTTATTTATTTATTTATTTTAAAAATATATTTTATTGATTTTTTACAGAGAGGAAAGGAGAGAGATAGAGAGTAAGAAACATCGATGAGAGAGAAACATCGATCAGCTGCCTCTTGCACATCTCCTACTGGGGATGTGCCCGCAACCCAGGTACATGCCCTTGACCGGAATCAAACCCGGGACCTTTCAGTCTGCAGGCCGACACTCCATCCACTGAGCCAAACCGGTTTCAGCTCCTTCTCCTTTTAAAAAAATGTTTTACTTATTTATTTTAAAATGTATTTTTTATTGATTTCTGAGAGAGGAAGGGAGAGAGATAGAGAGTAAGAAACATCGATGAGAGAGAAACATCGATCAGCTGCCTCCTGCACATCTCCCACTGGGGATGTGCCAGCAACCCAGGTCCATGCCCTTGACCGGAATCAAACCCGGGACCTTTCAGTCTGCAGGCCGACGCTCCATCCACTGAGCCAAGCTGGTTTCAGCTCCTTCTCCTTTTCAAAAAATGTTTTACTTATTTATTTTAAAATGTATTTTTTATTGATTTCTGAGAGAGGAAGGGAGAGGGAGAGGGAGGTAGAAACATCAATGATGAGAGAGAATCACGCCCCCTACTGGAGATTGAGCCCAAAACCCGGGTATGTGCCCTGACCGGAATTGAACCGCGACCTCCCGGTTCATAGGTCAATGCTCAACCACGGAGCCACACCAGCCGGGCGGGCTATGTAGACTTTTCTATCTTGACTGTTTTCAAGGTGAGATGCACCTGCATCAAAGTGCAGTCATGCAAGCTCCAACCACAGAACATTTCATCCCTTTCCAGTTGAATGTAAGGGTAGAATAGGCTGAGAACACTGCAAGGAGAAAGAATTTTCTGAATTTTAGTTAAGTTAAAAAAACTCCCACCTTGATCAGAAGTAAGTCCTCTCTGTTTCTGCCTGGGTCTTCCCTCTTATTCATGTGCATGTGAAATCTACATGTTGCCTTATACCCTCCATTGTTGGGGTCCCTTCACGGGGCCACAAGCCAGGGGGTGGCCTGGGATGCTCACTCAAGCTCAAGGAGCGTGGGCTACCCTTCTTTCGAGCCATGTGCTCTCTCACTGCACAATCTAGAGAAACATGGAAAATCAGCTCCAAGAATTCCCTTTGGGGGAATGGAGATGGGGAGAAGTGGTAAAAAAGTAGGAAATAGAGGGCCCCAAACTTCTAGAGAATTTAGAGCCATCCCCCCTCCTGTCCCCGCCACAAATGTGCCCAGACTCCAGGCTTGACCGCAGGACGGGCAGGACAGGAAGACCGGGCTGCCATAGGCCGCCAGGCAGGCTCAAGCCGTGCAGAGGCTCAGACTCAGAAGGGCTCTGCGGGTTCCCAAATGCAGCCTCGAGCCAACATTGGAGCCATGAATAAACGCTCAGCCTCCTGCTCACTCACCTCCGTGGCCACTTAGAAATCGGCTGCGAATTTCTAGAGGGCGTTCGCCTCTGGCTGTTTGCATGGTGAAATCTGCATCTAGCACTACCCCACTTATTGAGGGGGTCCCTTCCTATGGCAGTAACAAACGCACTTGGGGTTTCATTATAGTTGCTTCCTTATCGAAGAACAGGCACTCAACCACTCCCCCTACCCCCCCCACACACACACTAACTGCTCCCCCAAATGCTCCCTGAGGCAAGCCCCCGAGGGCAGTGTGGGTGGCCTGGGCCCATTCCTTCCACAGAGCCAGGCCGGGAGACAGAGAGCAGCCAGAGGTTCTGAAAGGGGCAGTGCCACAGCAGGAGGGAAAGGGGCAGGGAGAGGTGAAAAGAAACAGAAGGTAAAACTACAGGAAATGGGGGATCTGAAGAGGAGGCGGGAGTGAAGTAAAAAATAAAAGGAAGGTGAGAAGAGAAGGAAAATTGGTTGGAAAGAGAGGAGGATGAGGAAGACAGACGTGAAAAAGGCAAGGACAGAGAGAGGAAAATTCTAGGAGGAAAGGAAGAGAAGGGAGAGGAGAAGGGAGGGGCGGCAGCAACAGCAGGAGGGTCTGAGCTGTCAATCCAGGGTGGCCTGAATGCGGCTCCCTCCTCCCCACCATGGGAGTCGGGAAGGAGGGCTCCCCACAATGCAGAGTGGGGTGCCAGCCACGGGCATGTGCTAACCTGGGGGCAGTGCAAAAGCCTGGACACCCTGTCCCCTGGACCAGGCCCTCATCTCTGCACTGAGCTCCCGGCCCCTCTGGGGCCGCCCGATTGCGTTAGAGAAGGAAGGGGATGTCTCGCACACAGTGTGCGCATTAGAGAATTAGCTTCTTGGGTAACAGGGTTAAAGCGAGCCAGGCAGGCCGTGCGTCGCATGGAGCTGTATCGCCTGTGTGCCTCTCGGATGGAGCAGCAATCAAGTTTCCCCTGAAGAAATTTCCTATTAATGGATCTGATGGCACAACGGACAGGGAGGAGTTGGAGTTGTTGCCAGTGGCGGGGTGTAAATTGCCTCCAATGAAACTGTGGAGTCACTTTTGCCCCTTCTAAACACGAACCAGTTCCAGGCCGTGAGGAACTGCCCCGGCTGGCGGGGATGGGGAAAGGCAGAGGCAGGGCTAATCTGATTCCTGAGCTCTGGCTGCAGACGGCCGGCTCCTCCCAGGGCGCGGAGGCAGACATGCAGATGGCAGCGATCCAGTGAGCGTAATGAAAAGCTCAAGCCTGCAGGAGCCGCAGGCCTGGGCTCCCCTTGTGTCCAGCTGCTCCCGCACCCTGGAGAGGAGGGCTGTACTCACACATGTGCCAAGAGCTTCGCCCCCATCTGCCCACTTCCCATCTCCCAGGTTCACACACAGAGCCCAGAGAGCCCGCGCCACATGCCCTGTTCCCATGGGGGACATGACGGAGCTGAGGCCTCCAGACTCCTGGCTTCAGCCTTTTCCACGGCAGCGGTGCTTCCCATCTTCCGCAGTAAATTTTTACTGGTCTGTAAAACTTTTACCACCAAAGAACCTGACCTTTTAAAACCTATAAACTTCCCCATACTCTGCAATCCGTAGTAACATCTGGCTGCACTAGGGGCCCACCTGCTAGGGAAGAGCAGGGTGGGGAGGGTTAAGGGGCATCGTCCTGGTGCTAAACGGGAGATGATCTTTATCCTCCCCATCACCTTGGGCAGAGGACTCCATGAAGCCCCACTGGTGTGTCCCAAGGCTTGGCACCTGCTCAGAGTCCCTAAGAGAACCACCCTCCCTGCTCTGGGGATGGCATAGGGAGAACAGACAGGTGCAGCCTTCCCCCACCCAGTTCCGTGGACCTGACACATCTTGGCTTTGGGGTTGTCTACCCATGGAGAACCCAGCAGGATGAGAAGATGCTTGATTCAGTTTTCCCAGTTCCCCTGCCAAAGAGACAGAGTGGCTGTTATAGGGAGAAGAGAGCAGCAGCAATGTCCTTGCTATGCCATCATGTCCCATAGGATGGGACCATACTGGTCCCCGGGGTTGGCCTGGCTCCGCACCCTCTCCCAACAGCACCTGCCTTGTATCGAGTGCGAACTACATGCCAGACACTGTGCTAAGCTCTTCATCATACTTAATCTTTGTTCCCTATGAAGAACATGCTATTATTCCCATGTTGCATCCGAGGACATTGGGGCACAGAGAAGTGAAGCAACCTTAGAGAATTGCACAGCTAATCTGTGAAGGGTGTGGCATTGGGCCTTAGGACCCGGAAGCCTGGCTCTTGTCCACCTGGTTACACCGAGTCCCAGAGCATCCTCTTGCCTGAGGCCCAGGCAGATTGGGCTCTGGCTCCGATCCTGGAACGGATGGGGCTTGTTCTTGCCGTGACTGCTCTTGTCGAAAGGGCAGGCCCGTGGCGTGGGCCCCACAGTAGCCTGCTGATTAAAGATATT